AAATTTTACTATACAGGCAGGTTCTTTTATAAAAAATCTTTGTATCAACAACAATTTTTATATGGTTTGTTTTTATAGTCAACAACCCTATTGTCTATTGGGAAATCTCTCAGCGAATAGCCTTTGAGCTCTCGATGCATTCTCCATAAAGTGCTTCTCCATAAATTAAGTGCATATCACAATATTCTGTAAATGTATTCTCCATAACTAGATATTTTTAAAATATTACAACAGTTGTCAAGCCGACACTTTAATTGTATCATAACAAGTAATAGGAACCATAGTAACGCTATGTGCAGATATTTTTCAGTCACTTATACCCGTTTGCATCGTTTAGAATTTAAGCCAAGTTCAACTGAACTTAGTTTAATTTTAAAACTAAGTTTTAATAATCAGCTATTGCACCACTTACTGCCGATTGTAGATTAAATTAAACTGGGTTTTAGGAATATTGTTTAGAGATTTTATTATGCTGCTAACTTCTGTCTAGTTATGTTCGGAAAAAAATATGTCAAAGTCAAATTCTCAAACCAAAATTTTAATATGAGTGCCATCAATGTCACCTAATACCCTAGGAAACGATGCAATTTTATAGAACTCATGTTGCATACTAACTATTTCTTCCGGGTTTGGCATTTTTATGTATCTCTGAAATGGCAGACAAATGACCNCTAGTTTTTAAGTAACGCAAAAATTCATAAATGATTTCTACCACTAATTTGTCATATATTTAAAATTTTACTATACAGGCAGGTTCTTTTATAAAAAATCTTTGTATCAACAACAATTTTTATATGGTTTGTTTTTATAGTCAACAACCCTATTGTCTATTGGGAAATCTCTCAGCGAATAGCCTTTGAGCTCTCGATGCATTCTCCATAAAGTGCTTCTCCATAAATTAAGTGCATATCACAATATTCTGTAAATGTATACTCCATAACTAGATATTTTTAAAATATTACAACAGTTGTCAAGCCGACACTTTAATTGTATCATAACAAGTAATAGAAACCATAGTAACGCTATGTGCAGATATTTTTCAAAGTCACTTAATCCATTATAATATGACATATTTTAATACAGTTTAGGATTTTCCACCATAGCCAGGAAAATAATATGTATTCAAATGATTTGACCAATTCTTACTTTCCCTTTAAGTTGTTTTTTATAAAACTGCAAATAATGTTGTTCATACACTCTGTTGTTAAGGAGGTTCGATACCAAAAAAAAAAAATGGTAAGAAAGTTTTCAAAATCATTGAAATCTGTTAAAAAATATGCCAACTGCCTCGTGTAAAAATATCAGATCGATTGCACATAGTTTTTTTGAAAAATGATATTAAAAATTATGCTCTTTTACACAGGGTCTAATCAAACGTGAATATTGCTTTTAAAAATGGTTAGGATTGGGAAAATATAATTATAATTAAAAAATTAAATATTACTAAACATTTTAAAACCATAAAAATATGCACTTACAATGTAATTATTGAGATAATGGAATGAATATATAACGTTTTGACAAATTTGAACAAACATCTGATCGAATGAAAGGAAATATGGTAACACTGTACGCTGTATTTAACGCGTTGACTGACGCGCTATATTTGAATAGCTCGATTATACACTATAAAATTATTCCAGTAAAAACATATGTAGTAATAATTAATATTAAATATTTTGAAACAAAAATTGAAAGGATCTCTGCAAAACGAACAGTATAGATATTCTGTCATAATCTTCAATTTGACAGGCGACGTCTTACTATTATACACTGAGCTTCTTGATAGTTATCATATGGATTCTCGGTTTACACATTTTACTTTTTTCTTATCAGTCCCACATTCTGTTTCTTGCACTTTTCAGTCATTACTTTTCCTTTATATCTTGGATGTTCATTCATGTTTACGGATTATGCTCAAAGCACAGTTGACAGTAATGACAGTTAACCCAACTTTTACCACCACGCCATGGCAATGTTACCAGATTTCATCCATAATTTTACAAGTTCTTAATGAATAGACACTTTTATTTAAGTAAAAAGCTAATATGTGCTGTATAAATTTCATTCGTATATATTATATTTAGTTCGCTCAAATTAGTTTATGTAAGGTTGGTACAAGGGGACCGCCTAGCCGGGTGTCTTGGCCGATGGATTTCGATCGGCCGAGGTAAGCATCACGGACGCAGGCTGGAACTTGGATGGGTGACCTAAGGCAGGCTCGGAGACGTGGCTGTGGCAGCCTACCAGAGACCTGGGTTGCTCAACACCTTCCGCCTGCGTGTGGTCCCCGATAAAAATGGTAATGAGAATAGAGCAATAAATCTCTGTAACTGAAGACCATGCTATCATCATACATAAAATTGTACTAGAATTTGCCACCAATCCACCCGTGTAGTGATAGGATGGTTTGAAGAAAAGTACTCGAGTAATGAAGGGGGGTGTACAAGGGGCGTAATAAGGCCTAAGTGCCGCGGTGGAAAAGCAATTTTCCACCATCCCCCGACATATATACATACATACATACATACATACAGATTGGTACAACAACGAAACTACCGTGTATAAGCATAGGCCTCCCTCCCGCACCGCCTGCCCCGTAAGAGATGTATCGAACCTCCTTAAGTCGCATTAGTTTAATTTAAGCATCAAAAGTCGCTTAAAAATGAAATGCATGGAAACTTGTATATGCAAATATCTTGAAAACCAAGGGTGATATCTAAATCGAATAAGAGTAACTTTTTTATGAAACAAAGGACGTTCTGTCATATTTTAAATACACAATGTCCGTAATTCTAAAGGCAAAAAAGTTTTTCCCTTTTTTATCATAGGAATAGGGCATAACTAACGCCCTGTACAAGCAACGTCAAAATTAGTTAAAAATTCTTATTTGTCATGTCAAAAAACATAATAGTGCCAATTTTTTTGTTCATACTCTGACAGTTTTGGAAATTATTGAGGAATTTCAAAATAAAATTCAAACATTGAACATTGAACGTCCTTGTATCTTTGAAACCAGCAACATTTGCATAAGCCGTATTTGGCTCAATCGAGTTATTTTGGTCACCAGTATCTCCAGCTTCGAGTTTTCCCAACCTTTTGCAGACATCCTGTATAGTAAATAAATAATTGCTATACTATTTGTAGATTAGAGAATTTAACATTTTCTGTTTGCTATTCTTCTGTAACCATGTAAACGTTTTTATTATTGCGATTTTACTTTTGAATACCATATGGAATTGCTAAAAAAAACCTAAACTAAAATTTGAATTCTTCTCTAACCCTTTATTAGACACTTTTCCTTTTGTTAATATCTCAGCTTGTAACTGTTTTTTTGCAATTTTTGGCCACTGAAGTTGTTTTCTTCATACAGTTGAAATATGCTAAATGTCTCACCCTCTCACAGTTACATGTATTTATTTTAGTTTCTTCAAGAGAAAATGAATTTATTTGTTTATATTTAAAAGTAATTGCTGATCAGATTATAATCACATTTTATGCTTGGAACTCGATTGCTGGTGCTTTTGTTTTCAAAAACGTTACCGAACTAGACTCAAATTTCCCTAAGGACCTTTACGGCAATATTTACAGTATGTTCTTTTAATTTTTTAGACACTCAAAGTTTGTTTAATTATTTCCAAACATCGTTTAAATCAGTAGTTCAGTGGTAAATACAGGGTGATTTCATTTGAAATACAGAATCTGCAGAAATAAATTAATTACCAAAAAATAAGTAGAGTTTGCTGTATAAATTTTTTCCTAGTGGACATGGTATTCGAGATACTGAGTGTTCAAGTTTCCAAAAAAAATTACATTTTCTGTCATATCTTCATAATGCACTGACCGATTTGAATGAAATTTACTACAGTGTTTTCACTTAGTTAGTTAGACCTTTTATTGAATGTAATATAACTTCGTAGCAATAACCAGTGACATGCTACTGAAGGTGCCACTCCGTTTTCCCAAGGAAAAAACACGTGACGTGTTTTTTTTAGAAATAATGTTAAATTCAGGTACTGTTACGTTGAATAAGTGAAAAGTGTTTCTTGTTTTTTTTTTTAATAATAGCAACCGTTTAAGAGATAATTACTTATTTGGCGACCATAATGTGCAAATTTAGTCCACATACTCGTATTTGTTTAAAAATCATTCTGCATAAATTGATTCTTTTGTCTGTATTATCAGTTAGTAAGCTTTATGATGATCTCGTTTTAATATTAAACTAGCTTTGTTTATTTATTCTTGTAGTTGCAGTCCATCTTGGGCTTACGAACACGAGACGAATTGTGGCAAAGAATAGAGGAAAATTCTAATCTCCTCAGGCAAAATCATGCCATGAAAAGTTTCTCTATAAATAGCCTGATTAAAAGATGTCAAAAGTCTATCGATGCAGAAGGATTTCGTTTTGAACAATTGTTTGGACTCATTACTTACCTGACCTATTTACTAATGTTATTTTATTATTTAGTATATTTTGTCCAGAAATAAAATTAGTACTACAAAAAACCGCCAATGGCATATATTTTTCTTGGGAAAAGTTGGCGGGCGCTTTAGTAGCACGTCACTGGTTAAAACCAGGAGGTTTTCATTAAATAAATGGATTAATTTATTACGAAAATTCAATAAAACGAAAAAGCAAATCCAAAAATCTACTAAACGGCTGCTACTATTAATAAACAACAAGAAGCATTTTTCATTCATTTAACATAACAGTGCCTGAATCTAATATTATTTCTACAAAAAACTGCCAGTGGTTTATTTTTTTCTTGAGAAAATGGGGCGGCACTCCCAGTAGCACGCCTCTGATTAAAGCCACCATGTGAATATTATATTCAATAAAAGGTGTAATAGATCTAGTTCTGCAGTTTCTGTATTTAAAATTAAATCACCCTGTATACAAATGTCTATAAATTTGCATATTCAAAAGTGGAAGTGGATTAAAAAGAAAAAAAATCAGATTTTTATTAATCCTTTTTATTTATGACACAAATTTGTTTTAGTTAAGAATAGCTGATATGGCTGTTAAATTAGAAGCAGCAAGATTGCTGGTTTGGAGAGCAGCAGCATGTTGTGATGAACCACAAAGAACTACTAAGGAGTCTTCTATGGCAAAGTTAGCTGCTAGTGAGGCTGCCACTTTTGTATCGCATAGTGCTATTCAAATTTTAGGGGGTATGGGTTATGTGACTGATTTACCAGCGGAGCGATATTATAGAGATGCCAGGATTACAGAAATTTATGCAGGAGTTAATGACGTTCAAAGGATATTAATTGGTGATTTGATTATTAAAGAATTACAACATTAAAATATTTTTGATAATATATACTTGGGTATTATATTGTTTTTATATATATATATATATATTGCCTTATATCATGCATATTTTATATTTTCAATAAAGCAATATTTCCTCAAATTACTAAGAAAATAATTTTATTGCCACTATTACTTTCCTCAAATAATTTACACTGTTGGATTTACAAAATACGAAGAAAAGTTAGTATAAAAAAGGAAGAGCATTTTTTAATACTTTTTCCTCAACCATGATGTTACTTTGATTAACTATAAAGTTTGTAAATCAAGGGTCATTACAAAATGTGACACCCTATAAGGGACGCCAGTGACGCATGTAATAATTTAAAGAGAAAATTATCCGATTCATTAGTTAGTGCACGTTAGTCGAAACACACGTTACAGATGTTACAGAATTGTAAATATTTGACTTTGCTTAGGAATATAAACTTGTATGGTTTTGAAATATTTAAAATAATCATAATTTATATGGTTTATAGTTAATTACTTAGTTGTTTTTATAATAAGCAACGCAACACATTTTTTGAGTAAATAAAATTGATTTGACTGCCTTTTATTTTATATTCATCTTATGGGTATGTCTTAGTTCAATGTATGTTACGAAAATTTTTTAAGTGTAAAAAATTACTGTTTTAGTGCATACTTTAAATTACATACGTACCTACGTAAAACTCATTCAAAAAAAATTTCTTAGCAAGAGGTATTGGAGATGAAAAAACAATTGGTGTTATATCAGACTATTGCGACTCAAGATAGTAGGTATAATATTGTATATAAAAATATAAAATATTGTTAACCAAGTTGTTACAATACAAAGAAAAATTATACAAAAAAAAGTTAATGAGGCTGATAACAAGTCAAAAACCATGTGGCAAATCATTAAAAATTTAACTAAAAATGAAAGAGAGTTAATAGTTCAGTTATCCAAGGTTCAGAAACGGCATTTCCAGGAAAAAATTTAAGTTTTTTTCTTACCGGTTCTTTATGTTTTTTCGGCTGCTGAATCCGAATCGGAGGTTTGCCACTTTGTCAGGTGACGGCTTCACAACGAAAATCAGAAAAAACCTTAAAATGTATCACTCAGTTTTTTTGACTATAACTCAAAAACTATGCATCTTTCGATCATGCAAACCATATACAAAATTAAAGTTAGTAGTCGTTGACGGCTACTCTCATGCACAGAATGGAATTAAACAAATGGAGCATGAGAAGATCCAAGACGTAGTCAGTTGACATCGAAGTCAATGACAAAATGGTGCCCACAGTCCCCCAGGTGAAGTTTCTGTCTAATACCTACAACAAAAGCAGATTCAATGCAGCCCAAATTGACATGAAGCAAGCAAGTGAAGATGCAGACACTCTAATTGTGCAAACAGTCCAATCCCTTGCTGCAGAGCACGAAACTTGTAGTGGTTGGTGAGGATATAGACCTACTGGTCATTATGATTGGAACTTTGACGTCTCCTAATGTATATTTTTTGAATCAGGAAAAGGCAAAAATCTTCCATCTGTTTACCATCCTCCAAGCACTATCGAGAAATGCCTGGCAGAACATATATCATCCATACATGCTGTCAGTGGTTGTGACTCCACATCTGCTTTTTTCAAACAAGGGAAAGCCAAGTTTATGAAAACCTTTACAAGGTATCCTGACCTCTCAGTCTACATCCGATGTTTCAGAAACCCTCTTGCCAGATCAGAAGAAATTTCGGAGGCAGGGGAAAAATTCCTAGTGGCCTTGTATGGCGGAGACCATCGCACCACTTCAATTAGTAATCTGCGGTACAAACAGTATGTGTCATCAGCATTCAAGGTTAGCGGAAATGTAGCATCCATTCCCCCATTAAAGCTGCAGTCCAGCAACACAGCTTTTTTAGTGGAGTCAAGAAATGCCATTTTTTCAACTATCTAATGACGTTATGGATTTTCCAAACTTTAGAGTTATTATACGTATTTGTAGGAAATTTTGTCTACTTTAATTTGGTATATATATCATAGTTATAATCAAAAAACGCTTTTCGAGTTATAGTGAAAAAACTGAAAAAGTGACGAAAATTTGAGGTTTTTTGAAATTTTTCTTGTAAAGTCGACGACTGGCGAGGTGGCAAACCTCAGATTCGGATTCAGCACCCCAAAAGACATATACAACCGGTGAGAAAAAAACTTCTACATTTTTTTCCTGGAAAAAACCTTTGCTTACCGGATTATAAATTGAGAATATAATGGCTTTAATAATGTTTTCATAAATATTTCCTTTAAATAATACAAATTTATACCTTAATCTAATCCAATCCAATGTAAAGTCTGTTTGTACAAGCAGGCACATAAGAAGAAATAGCTAAAAAATATGAAGAATAAAAAAAGTACTGGTATAGATGAAATCCCAGTGTCGGTGTTGAAACACTGTGTATCAGATAGCAGAACCTTTAACCTATTTAATAAATTTGTCTTTTATGTCGGGGATTTTGTCCTAAAGATTTAAAATGGACAATTGTTAAACCAATCTTTAAGAAAGGTGATATAAATGTATTATCAAATTATAGACCAATCGGTTTATTAACATGTTTTTCAAAGATTTTTTAATCTACGATGGCCTCAACATGGTTATATGAAGAAAAAGTCTATAGATACAGCTTTGTACAGCTTTATTAATGAAATACTCAAAAGCCTGGATGAAGGGGATCTGTCCTGTGACATTTTTCTTGACCTTTCGAAGCCGTTTGATTGTATAGATCATGATTTACTTCTGCAAAAATTGTATAGGTAGGTTGGTATTAGAGGTAATAATAGAGTGGTTTTGTTCTTATTTAACCTGCCGCAAACAAATTGTTGAAATAGAGTATAATAATAACAAAATCGAATGTCTTGGGGTCATTTCCCATTTTTCAATGAACACGTATTTACATTTAATGATACATAATTAACAAGTACACAGAAAAAAAATTTTTTTGTGCACCTCAAGTAACTAAAATGAGTTTGAAATTTAAATTTCTTAATGACCGCCGAAATCATGACGTCAGAATTTTGTTATGCGCAGGAAGCAAAAATTAATTTGGTAGCCCTGCGCCACACCCTGCGTTTCTAACTTCACAAGTTCTGGACTGTCTAGTGCTCCTAGATGTTTATGTTTTACTTATGTTTTCAGAGTGCCATTGAATGGTTCGATTATAGTTTATTTTTATGGGATAATTTGTGTATTGTGTAAATATATTCTGTGATTTAAAACTCTATATAATAATTAGTGTTTAACTGCAGAGAATAATCAAGTAAGTTCAATGATGAAAATAAATCTTTTATACCAACCAATAATATTTTAATTGTAGAGATCAATTACAATTACAAGAAGTGTTTTGTACCTTCTTGCCAGAACACTACATTAAATTCCAAGAAAATATTTCTATCTGTGCCAAAAATTGAAGATATTAGGAAAGCTTGGAGTGTCGCTGTTGGTCGTAGGAAAGTTCCATCAACATCTTCCGCAGGCATATATTGTTGTGAAGATCACTTTATTGTAAGTGCTTAGAATTATATTTTCTTCATTTTTATTTACTGATTTAATTAGATGTTGTAAATGCTGTGCACTCATGTCTTGGAGAACATTGTACTAGATTTAATGAAATAGATGTATTTTATTAATTTACAGATGGAACAAGACTGTGAAAACTGGATGGCATATAAATTGTTTCACACCCAGTTGAAAATAAAAAAAGATGTTGTCCCACATTGTAATATAAGTGGAATTCCTGATGTGTCAAAGGATTTCTCAACTGAGTAAATCTGCAGAAAAGAAGCAACGTAGAAGAATATGCCAAGAAACAAAAACTTCATCCCCAGAGACTGGAATTTGACGAAGAATCATCTATATTAACTTCAACTGAACCTCAAACAGATTCTGCCAGTTGTCTTGATAAACCTGCGAGTAGTACATCTGCATTACATACANTAATTTCGGCCACCGAGTTATAAATGTTTATGTTTTACTTTTGTTTGGTTATGTTTTCAGTGTCATTGAATGGTTCGATTATAGTTTATTTTTATGGGATAATTTGTGTATTGTGTAAATAATCTGTGATTTCAAACTCTATATAATAATTAGTGTTTAACTGCAGAGAACAATCAAGTAAGTTCCAATGATGAAAATAAATCTTTTATACCAACCAATATTTTAATTGTAGAGATGAATTACAATTACAAGAAGTGTTTTGTACCTTCTTGCCAGAACACTACATTAAATTCCAAGAAAATATTTCTATCTGTGCCAAAAATTGAAGATATTAGGAAAGCCTGGAGTGTCGCTGTTGGTCGAAGGAAAGTTCCATCAACATCTTCCACAGGCATATATTGTTGTGAAGATCACTTTATTGTAAGTGCTTAGAATTATATTTTCTTCATTTTTATTTACTGATTTAATTAGATGTTGTAAATGCTGTGCACTCATGTCTTGGAGAACATTGTACTAGATTTAATTAAATATATGTATTTTCTTAATTTACCGATGGAACAAGACTGTGAAAACTGGATGGCATACAAATTGTTTCACACCCAGTTGAAAGTTCAGTCCATCATCGACTGCCTGGAAATAGAAATAGAACAATCTTCTAATGCTCCCCATCAAGCACTGACATGGTCAAACTACAAAAAGACTAACACATTAAAATATCTAATATCATCGACCCCAGATGGTATAATAAACTTTATATCTGAAGGTTTTGGTGGAAGAATTACTGACAAAGAAATTATCGAGGCAAGTGATTTTCTAAATGCTCTACCTCCCTGTGACGTTATGGCCGATAGAGGTTTTAAAGCTATCGCTGGCTTATCAAAACAGAAAAATTGTAATTTAGTACGTCCTTCCAGTGTTGAAAGTGGAACAAAGAGCACAAAGGAAGAAGTTAAAGGAAGCAAACATATAGCCAGTTTGCGCATTCATATTGAACGAGTAATTAGATTTCGAGAATTTACCATACTCGATAAACATGCTTGCCTTAACCATGAACTTGTACCAAAATTAGATTTCTTTATTATAGTTGCATGTGGAATAGTAAATTTACAAGGCCCCTTAATTATTCATTAATTGATACTGTACTTTCATATATTGTAAAAATACTATATAGGGTGTAACATTGTTTATTTTTATTCTTGTATCATAGGTTTTTTATTATTAATTCAGTACCCTGTCAATAACAAAAGATTAATAGCGAATGTTTATGTAACAAAATATTCTTACATTTGAGTGAAGTATTTCTTCATTTTCAATTAAGTTATATGATACTGTTATTGTTAACTACTGTTTGTTCTTGTTTAAAATGTTTTATATACAATATAAATTACTTGCATTGAATGTTTTTTTATACATCACATTTAAAAAAAACTATATTAAATAATTAGTTTAAAAGTAATACAATTTAAATTTAACCTAATTTATATATTATACAAGAGAAATATTTTCCAATTCTACATCAGAACATTTTTTTTAAAGGGATACATTTCATGATTAATAAAAAATCAGACTTGTATTACTATTTTATTAAAATAGGAAATATTACTTCTTTCCAAAATTCCATAGCATTTTTTATTATTTCAAAATTTGGGTCAGCGATGCAGAAGAGTCCTTTTTCTTTTTCGCAAAATAATATCTGTAAATGTATTTGAGCCTGAAATTTTGCTCTTAATTTTCCATTAGGCTTGATGTAGTTCTTAAGTGTTTCTTTTTTTGTTGGACATTTAATTTCCAAAATATATTTATCACTGACTCCATCAGGTGACGCCCCCAATGCTGGATATTTTTTATTTAAAATTAGTCCAGACTTAGTTTATTCCTATTTTTTTTGCTACAACTTTTAAAACTTTTTCCTCTAACTCTAAACCTCTCTTCATGGCACTAGTTTGTGTCATATTGGAAGTACCAAAAATAGATTCCACAAATGCACCGTCCTTTGTTTTGCTACAGCTTCAAAAATTTTAGAAGCGGTGATTCTTCCATATCTAAGCTCATACCACACAGGAGACTTAGACTGAAAAGATGTCTCTTGCAGCTAAGGCACAAAGTTCTTTAGTCATTCGTGACTCGCAATATTCCAAAAATTTGTCTGCATTGATATTATCCTTTTGTTTTAAATAATAATTTACTAAAATGTGCATAGACAATTGTTTTATGTCCGAAGGTTCCTTAAAATAATGAAGGAGTTGCGCTGAACTGTCAACATCTTTAGCAGCTTGTACCACTTTCTCTAGAAAATTTCCACAGAAGTAGGACTTTTCTCATTGTTTCTCCGGAAAATCCAATATAAGAACGCAATAGCATGTTTACACCCACCTAAAATAAAATTTTACAAATATAAATTCATATGTGTGACAGACGTAAGAAAAAAGAAGTTTCATATAAACGATAGACCTTATAAACTACCAAACATACCTTGAGATGCAGCACAATTTTCACATTGACAACTTATTATAACATCATTCTCTTCGTCAAATCGTGCTGTAACACTATATGCCTGTTGGTGAACTCGATGTTCAGGAACAACTCTGCCTTTAACAGTACAAATATTTGTATCATGTTTGACTTGTACGTATCCTATTGCTTCATCTCCATAACAAGCTCTGGATGCCCTAATATAAATTTTCGTTAAAAACTTTAAGATAATGTATTACAAACATAATTTTTAAATTTATTATTAAACACTTACTAACCTAATATTCTTTGCACTTCTAAATTCAACACTGAAATAGTCCATATTCTTCGCAAAAAACTCCTGAATCATAATATAATTTACTTCAGGCAAATTTTCACTATTAGCTTGGGCGAAATTAGGTTCCATATTAAAAAAAATAATTTACAACAAAAATAAACCAGGTCACAGTAACAAATATCGCTGTCAACAAACAATCGCCATTATTCTCTTCCTCTTCCTCTTGCTGTTACCACTACCACCGGTAGTACCACGATGATAGTGTTAAACACCCCAAGATTTAGTTCTAAATCGTGACGTCACATAACACGCCATTATTCTATGGCTAGAAATTGGCCTCAATGATTTGGGATCGAGGGGGATTATCCCTCTTTATCCTGCCTCATCTCGTGTAGGCCTGGACAGCCTTNAACTGCAGAGAACAATCAAGTAAGTTCAATGATGAAAATAAATCTTTTACACCAACCAATATTTTAATTTGTAGAGATGAATTACAATTACAAAAAGTGATTTGTACCTTCTTGCCAGAACACTACATTAAATTCCAAGAAAATATTTCTATCTGTGCCAAAAATTGAAGATATTAGGAAAGCCTGGAGTGTCGCTGTTGGTCGAAGGAAAGTTCCATCAACATCTTCCGCAGGCATATATTGTTGTGAAGATCACTTTATTGTTAAGTACTTATGAATTATATTTTCTTCATTTTTATCTACTGATTTAATTTGATGTTGTAACTGCTGTGCACTCATGTCTTGGAGAACATTGTACTAGATTTAATTAAATAGATGTATTTTATTAATTTACAGTTGGAACAAGACTGTGAAAACTGGATGGCATACAAATTGTTTCACACCCAGTTGAAAATAAAAAAAGATGTCCCACATTGTAATTTAAGTGGAATTCCTGATGTGTCAAAGGATTTCTCTCAACTGAGTAAATCTGCAGAAAAGAGGAAAAGAAGCAACGTAGAATATGCCAAGAAACAAAAACTTCATCCCCAGAGACTGGAATTTGAAGAAGAATCATCTATATTAACTTCAACTGAACCTCAGATTCTGCCAGTTGTCTTGATAAACCTGCGAGTAGTACATCTTCATTACATAAGTCATTTGCTCATAAAACTGTACAAGTAAATTTTCTTTATTATAATCGCATGTGGAATAGTAAATTTACAAGGTGCCTTAATTATTCATTAATTGATACTGTACTTTCATATATTATAAAAATACTATATAGGGTGTAACATTGTTTATTTTTATTATTGTGTCATAGTTTTTTTATTAATCCAGTACCCTGTCAATAACAAAAGATTAATAGCGAATGTTTAGGTAACAAAATATTCTTACATTTGAGTGAAGTATTTCTTCATTTTCAATTAAGTTATATGATACTGTTATTGTTAACTACTGTTTATTCTTGTTTAAAAATGTTTTATAGACAATATAAATTACTTGCATTGAATGTGTTTTTTTTATACATCACATTTAAGAAAAGCTATATTAAATAATTAGTTTAAAAGTAATGCAATTTAAATTTAACCTAATATATATGTATATTATACAAGAGAAATATTTTCCAATTCTACACCAGAAATTTTTTTTCAAAGGGATACATTCATGATTAATAAAAAAATCTGACTTTTGTATTACTATTTTATTAAAATAGGAAATATTACTTCTTTTCAAAATTCCATAGCATTTTTTATTATTTCATTAATAAAGATACCCTTATTAAAATCTACTTCTAATATTTGGACCTCGTTGTTTTCCTCAAAATTTGAGTCAGCGATGCAGAAGTAATTTTTCTTTTTCACAAAATAACATCTGTAAATGTATTTGAGCCTGAAATTTTGCTCTTAATTTTCCATTAGGCTTTATGTAGTTCTTAAGTGTTTCTTTTTTTGTTGGGCATTTAATTTCGAAAACATATTTATCACTGACTCCATCAGGTGACGCACCCAACGCTGGATATTTTTTATTTAAAATTAGTCCAGACTTCTCAAAGTTTATTCCTATTTTTTTTGCTACAACTTTTAAAACTTTTTCCTCTAACTCTAAACTTCTCTGCATGGCACTAGTTTGTGTCATACTGGAAGCACCAAAAATAGATTCCACAAATGCACCGTCCTTTGTTTTGCAACATACAGGTTCAAAAATTTTAGAAGCGGTGATTCTTCCATATCTAGGAGACTTAGACTGAAAAGGTGTCTCTTTTGCAGCTAAAGCACAAAGTTCTTTAGTCATTCGTGACTCGCAATATTCCAAAAATTTGTCTACTTTGATATGATCCTTTTGTTTTAAATAATAATTTACTAAAACGTGCATAGACAACTGTTTCAGGTCCGAAGGATCCTTAAAATAATGAAGGAGTTGCGCTGAACTGTCAACATCTTTAGCAACTTGTACCACTTTTTCTAGAAAATTTACAGGTGGTTGACAAGAAGTTGAAGGTTCTCCTATCTTGAAATCTGAGGCTTTAATAAATTTTACTGCAGTACTTAATCTTGCCAAGGCTGGTTTTTTCCAGTAGCATTCCACAGAAGTAGGACTTTTCTCATCATTTCTCCGGAGAATCCAATATAAGAACGCAATAGCATGTTTACACCCACCTAAAATAAAATTTTACAAATATAAATTCATATGTGTGACATGTAAGAAAAAAAGAAGTTTCATATAAACCATAGACCTTATAAACTACCAAACATACCTTGAGATGCAGCACAACATTCACATTGACAACTTATTATAACATCATTCTCTTCGTCAAATACTGCTGTAACATTATATTATGCCTGTTGGTGAACTCTATGTTCAGGAACAACTCTGCTTTTAACAGTACAAATATTTGTATCACGTTTGACTTGTACGTATCCTATTGCTCCATCTCCATAACAAGCTCTGGATGCCCTAATATAAATTTTCATTAAAAACTTTTATCATAATGTAATACAAACATATAAGTTTTAAAATTATTAAACACTTACTAACCTCGCCATTATTCCATGGCTAGAAATTGGCCTCAATGATTTGGGATCGAGGGGGATTATCCCTCTTTATCCTGCCTCATCTCGTGTAGGCCTGGACAGCCTTC